TACTTACCATCTATGTGACCACATTGCAAAATAAGCAACGTATTATTTTTGGCCCTGCTTAAATCTAGAGAACTTGAGCAATTTGAGGGTTGAAGTATGTCATTTGCTAGAAATGTTAGAAAGTTATTACAAATAGCCAAACAAAAGGCAAATCAAGTTCTGGAATGCAGATGACATGAGAACAATGCTCATGGTATAAATATAAAGAAATTTTTTCCTAAAAAAGGAAAAAGTATGAATGACTTTCAGGTCATAGTGATTCAACATTTATATACATTACAAAATGCTCACCACAGTAAGGGTAGTTATCATCTGCCATCATACCAACTTATTAGAATGGCACTGCCTATATTCCCCAGGCTGCACCTTTCATTCCCATGACTTACTTGTTTTATAATTGGAAGATAATGCCTTTTGATCTACCTCTACCCCTTTTCAACTTCAAGCAGTGGGATCTGAGGGTGATTATCCTGAGGGGAGGAGGATGGGTATCTATCACAGGAAGACAAAGCATTGCGCACTGGTTGGAGCTGACAAAGAAAAATTCTGAAAAAGATATGATGAGGCAGAGCCCAAGTCCTTTTGCCCCCAGTAGCTCAGAGATGGTAGAGGGATGGAGGAGCTCTTCGGAGAGAGCATAAGGCCTGGCACTTGGCCCATCTACCTACCCCCCCACCTTCTGCAGAAGGGCAGAGCTGGGAGTGACGGAGAGGACAGAGAGGATGACTTTTCATGGAAAACCTTAGGAAGTCTCAGCACCTTCCCAGTGGACCCTGGGGAACATACACAATCCCGGTTTCCTTCTGCATGACTCCAGCTTGGGGAGAGACATGCTAGAAAAGAAGATGTGCAAGCTGAGAAAACCATGCTGGGAGCCTCCCCTGGGGAGCATCCCGAAGTCACAGTGCCCCAGAAAAGGGGTGCACAAGACCCAAAGCAGCCTGGAAGTTGAGAAAGAAACTAGCACACTTTACCAATACCCCAGATCAGGATGGCCAGGGCTAGTCAGGAGAGGCCATCAGGACTGACAGAGAAGAATAATAGCAGCAGCCTGGGTGGGGCAGGTGTTATCTCAGCATATGCTAGCATGGGACAGAGTGAGGCCCAATGGGCATGTGTCCTTTCCCAAGGCTGAGCCACCCCTAGGGGAATGGACCCACCTAGGGGAAAGGGGCAGCTCAAAGCTGAATTTAATGAATTTCAAACTTAAAATGTCTGAAAAATCACTGACATCTGAGTTATCCTGGAAGTCAGTAGAATCAGTTTTCTTCCATCAGGCAGGAGGGGAAACTACCAAGAGAATTCAGTTACGAGGTAATAAAGAGAACTACATATAGTACATATGAGTCCATGGATTGTGAAATATCATCGTCTAATTCTGCTGGAACAGACTTTGCAAGGACTTCTAAAATTGTTCCTTGTCTTTGTTAAGGAGCTATGCACGGAGCGTTGGGTGATATTTAAATACAGAGTATTTGTTGGTAATCACCTGTCTGACTTAATTTAGTGAGACTCTGTGGTTCTGGCTGACTCCAGTTATTGCATAAGTGTGTCTGAACTACTCTGCGGGGACAGTGGGGTGGGGGACCTGGGTAATGGGCAGAAGGGTTGGCTCTGCTGTTCTATCCTGGAGATCCAAGCTCCCTATGGCCCCCTACAAGACCTCTTGGCTGAGAAGAGCTCTTTATACCTTTAAGTGTGGTGATGCGTGAGGCAAAACTCTGACTCTGAACCGCATCAGTTTACTAGAGCTGCCAAGCCAAAGTATCACAGACTAGATGGCTTAAAAACAGGAATATATGTTCTCACAGTTCTGGAGATTGGAAGTCCAAGATCATGGTTTCTGCAGGTTTGGGTTTTCCTGAGGCCTCTCCTTGGCTTGCAGATGACCTTTTCCCTCTTTATGTGTCTTTCTTTACCCAAATTCCCTCTTCCTATAAGGATAACAGTCCTGTTGGTTTAGGGCCCACCCTAACGACCTCATTTTCATTTAATTACCTCTTTAAGGGCCCCATCTCCAAATACAGTCACATTCTGAGGTACTGGGAGTTAGGACTTCCACATATGAATTTTTAGGGAGACACAATTCAGTTCATGACCCCAACTTTCCATACCTGAGATTAAAAATGGTAAGATGCTATCCTGGGCCCACTTCTAGGGATTCAGATGAGATTAAACAACAAAGCTCATCAAATGTCCAAATCAGCCTGTCATGGCCCTGGAGAATAAGATCAGATTTCAAGGTAACCTGGGAAGCTAGTGAAGTGGGTAGAAGAAAAGAAAAACTTCATTTTAAATAAACACTTTGTTTATTTAGACTTTGCTTTGCTCCAGAAAGGACATGAGGAGAAGGAACTCCCAGATTAATAAGGACATAAAGGGCAAGTCGAAAAGGAGACAGACTGTCCTGAGGCCCCTTTCACCCACTCACCACCCTCTGCCCCAGCTCCCCTTCTCCCACTGTGGCCACTGGGGAGGCACCTTGCATGTGGCCTCCTGGTGACTACAGTGTCAACTGAGGCTGCATCCACAGGGTGGGAGTGAGAAGGGGCAGTTAGGAAATAGTTGTCAAGGCAAAGCATGGTACTCTAGGGGCTTACCAAAGTTTATGTGGTTTCCAGGGCTTCAGAAGAGGTATATAGGGCACACTGCTGAGGAACTATTCTGTTTCCAAAGAAATTCGTCATTAGAGCATAAAAAACTTGGATAATTGTCTTGTCAATGGGTTTCAGCCCCGGGCAAGTTCGCTATGGATTCAATGTGAACAAAGAAATTGACAGCAAAATGTTCTTTGGGGTGAAAAGGTTTATTACCCGCTTGTTCTCCTGGCAGTAGGCCGAGCACTAGCATCTCTACCTCCGCATAGAGCAGTGGGCTGAGCTCTCTATATACTGCAATAATAGCTTATTGCCTAAAGGTGTGGAAGCAGTAGCCTGGCAACAGACCAGTTACATCATCAAGTAGTTCAAGTTCAGTGAGGATCCTGGCCATCGGAATCCCAACTTCCCCACAATAATCCATTAGAAAAAGCCTATTTCAGTGTTCAACGATTAACAGATATTAAGCAACTATTATGTGCCAAACAGTATGTTGATGACTTGAGGTACATTGGTAAGCACATCTTTTATAACAGTAGCAAACACACAAGTGCCAAGCACATGTACATTAACCCACATAATAGTTACAAAAAACCCATTTTGAAGTTGAGGAAACTGAGTCAAAAGAGATAATTTGTAATTAGCTCAAATCTATGCATCAAGGAAGAAAATATAGCTGGCTCCAAACTTCATACTGGTAAAAACCACATGATTCTGCCCTAAGATACTTGGACGTTGGACAAGCAAATTATAAAGTCTTTCTCTAGATGTTTAGATAGGCTGAGGTTCATAAAAGTTTATCTAAAAATATAACTGAGCTCCCACATTGGTCCAGGACAGGTAGAAGGGGGGAGTTCAAAAGGGGAAGCTGAGAGAACTAAAGAGAAACTTCATAACTTCCTAATTTTGTTTTGTGTTGGAAGAGAGCTCTAAAGTAAACATGCCATGAAAATCAACAACTGAATGCATTTACTTTAAAAATGAGGGCTTCAGAGCACATTCTAAAGTATTTTCAGAAGTCCAGCTTCCTATCTTGAAAATCATGAAAAATATGAACCAAAAGATGGAGTAGAGCATGCCTTCAGATGGCCTTCAGTGGGGCTGGGGCAAATCTTGGTCCAGTTTTCTGAGCTGGAGGATGAGACCTGGGCAAGGCTAGAGCAGAGACTAAAGCCCTACCCAGCTCTGGTCCTAATTCCTCCTTGGTGGTGGTAATTGTGTTTGCTCTTAAGTCCATACACCTAAAGTTTTCCCACAGGGTGTTTCAACATAAAGTGCTCACAGACAAAAGCCTAAGAACATTTAATCCCATCATTAAATTAACTGTATATGTCCCATAAGGTTCTTGTATGAACTCCCATTTTTCTCCCAGACTCTTGAGAAGTGGCACTCCAGAATAATTTTACATGGGTCAGCATCATCTATAGTGGGGTGGGCAAAGCAGTTCATGAAATTAAACTCCTGAAAACCACGGAGACACCCTCTGGGGAAATGCCTTCTATTTATGTTTAGGATACTGTTCAATAATGTTGAAGAATCCAAGGTCGAAAAGGTCATTCCACATTACAGAGAAAGGCGAGTCAAGTTCGGGCTCCATATGGGAGTTCTGAGCTCAGACTGTTTATGCAATCCAGTAACTGTCATCGTAGTGTGTGGTTTTTAGCCAGCACCCAGACATTGGGGTACACGGGCGCTCTGCGTTCTCTGCAGCGAGGACGACCGCCCGTGGCGTACCGAGCGGGCTGAAACACCAGGCGACCAGCGGTCTTCCGCTAGGAACGATCCGTTAGGAATTGAGAACCTCTTCGGGGCTGGCCCGAAAGGGCCCTCGGGCCAAGTGCTTGTGGGCTGCCTGGCGAGAGGATCGGAAGCAGCCCCAGCTGGAGCGGATGCGCCGGCGCCCACTGCAATACTCCGGGCCGCGTCAGAGCCTTGGCCTCAGCCGCGCACCCCCACCGCCCCGGGACCCCGCTTCCGCCAGGCTGTGAGCCCTCCACCTCGTGTTCACAGTCGTCGCCAGTCCCATTTCTCCCACCAGGCGGCCACTACCGCTTGCTGCTCGCGGGACAGAGCGCGCGGAGAGGCTCAGCGTGGAGCAGGCGGACGGGAATGGGGGTGAGGCCTCGGAGTGGTGGAGCGGGACTCAGCCGACAGCGCAACGGTCAGGGGCGGGCCTCGACGGGGAGCAGCGGGACTCGGTATGGGGCCTGGAGGGGCGGGAGGTCGTACGCACTGCAGGGAGCGGCGCATCTCGGGTGAAACGCGTAGTTGGGACCGGAGCTGGGCGGGGATGGGCTGGGTGCTGGGAGGGAAGGAGCACGGGGCTGGGCGGGGAGAGGAAGAGTCCGACGCTAGGAGGGGCGGGGCACGAGATGCGCAACGGAAAGGGGCGGGGANCCCTCCTAGCTGTGCAGCGGGTGGCGGCTGAGGCGCTGAGCGGCCCGAGGAAGAGGGGGGCGTGTGGAGCCTGGTTTCGGGGCGGTGGGAGCCAGTGGGGGCCCGGCGAGGAGGGTGGGAGGTGGCGGGGCCCGGCGAGGCCGCGATGAAACCGAGCCGCGAGGACGAGGCGGCGGCCGCCAGGGGCCCCTGGGAAGAATGCTTCGAGGCGGCGGTGCAGCTGGCGCTACGAGCGGGACAGGTAAGCGCCGCGGCCTCCTCCCGCGCTGCAGGGTCCACCGCGGCTTGCGGGCTGGCGGGCGGCGTCTGGCGCTCTGGCCGCTTTCCGCCCCCACGGAACCTGTAGAAGTGAGAGCTGAAGGAGTAGGGCGGGGGGAGGCCTCCCCGCCTGGGGCGCCAGCCCCGCGTGTGGCCGCCGTGGGGGCGAGCTCTCGGCGCAGAGCGAAGCCGGACGGCAGGCGTCCGCGGACGAGGTGAGGGGCGTGAGGCGGTGAAAGAGGTCTTTGTGTTGGGTTCCTGGGCGGACCTTCGCTTCCCTTCTCACCCTGGGCGTGGGGGCACGGGGCGGGGCGGACGGCGAGCGGCTCTCGCGTGGCGGTGCGGACACGGCCCCTCTTCTGGGACAGCAGAGGGGCTGACTGTAGGTGACTTGACCTTTGTCTTAGAGAGTAGGTTAGAATAGATTGACTGTAGGTCAGCCCAGGGCTTTAAACATCATCCCCAAGGCTTGCGTGGGGCAGCGGGCAGTTTAAGGACCTCAGAAGTGACCCAGTGTCCGGGACGTGGGTGTGGTCGCCCTCAGGTTGAAACCCCAGCCGCGCGGGATCTGGCTTCCTGCTGGGTTGTCTTGCTCAAGCATCCTGAACCCAGACCTCCTCTGACCCACAGCTTAAAAGTGGTCCACGCAGTGTGTGGAGGAACTTGTTACACTGACCGGAAGGGTGAAAATCAAGCAGCAGAGCTACGGAAAACTCAGAGCAGAGTTTGAGAATAGACTGCAGTCCCCTTTTTTCACTTGCATTTTTGTGTGCTTTGTACTCCCACCCCCATTCTCACCTCGATCCGCGGCGCCTGGCAGAGCAGGTCCGCGTCCATCCCGTGGGGTGAAGGCTTGCGCGGCGGTTCTCCAAGGACTGTCGGCGCGGAGGCCGGCGCGGGAAGGCGGCTAACTCCGGCTCTGCGCGCTGAGGTGCAGGAGTGTGTTCTGGTGAATTACAGGATGAGCGAACAGAAGCAGCGGTGTGGGCAGATCGCCGCCTCTTTGTATCCAAACAGCATTTTCTTTTTCAGGTCTAGCAGTCTGAAAAAGCTCTTCCGTTTTCCCCCGGAGTTAAAATCAGGCTGTTACCAATTCCAAATTTAAAGTGAGGCTTGTGCACAGTGGATAGTGCTTTACCTTGGTGTGAATCCTCCTACCCAGTTAAAAGTTAGTCTTCAGCCATAAGTGGACATATTTTGTGTTGGAGGGCCCTCCCTCTGTGGTTTGAAGGACACAAGACTCAGCCTGTAAGGAATGCATGACTTGGAAGGCGAATTGGGAAACTATCCTTTGGCTCCATCACCTTTCCCTCTTGTAAGAAAAAGATGACCCCGACCTTGTGCGAGAATGCTGAAGCTTGTAGCTGCAGGATGAGCATTCTTCCTGGAAAACAAGTTGGGAGTTTGGGTAGCACCTGCTCTCCCCCTCGCTCACTCCCAGCCCCCTTGCATCCTTTCCAGAGTGTGCATCATCAGGATATTTAGTAACTTTTAGGCTCTCCCATTAAGACTTTTTTGAGGAGAAGCCAGTTTAGGATTCGGACACTACTGTGTAAACCCCGGTGAGTTGTTATGGGTATCTGAAACTTTTCAAATTTAGATTCTTGAAGAAACAGAAGCGTTTTTTTAAACATTTAAATAAGAAATATTTATATAGCAATTGCAATATTCTAAGCACAATTCTAAGGGTCTTAGGAATTTTAACTTATTTAAGAGATACATTTTTCCAACTTGTCAACAACAAAAAGCTTTATTTGAGTGTTGGGGGAGGGGTGAAATAAAGATTCTCCCATTAGGAGTCCAGTCCAGTCCTGGGCTCCCTCTTGGGCGTTATGCTGACGCTTCCTGCCTCCCGGGAGGTAGAAGGGAGAGTGGCCAGAATGGTCTGTGGCAGAGACAAACAGTAGCCACACAGATCTTTGTAACCTGTGTAAAGACGGACAGATTGTCTTAACGTTCTCATAGCAATGAGGTGTTGAATGGGGAAGTCTGGCCTTTAGCCAGATAGCCCAGCAAGGGTTAAGAAGGGTTGGTGATCCTTTCCTGAGTCCTCAGCCAAAGGGGTATTTGGCATAGTTACATGGCCTGTGGCCCAACATGCCCACCCCCTCACCAGCACCCGAAGTTCTGTTTTATTAAGTTTGCTACTCTCAGCTGCTCCTGGACAGTTGAATGTGTGAATAACTAAGCCCAGTTCTATATGTTGAAAGGTAGAGGGACTAGAGGGAGGAGCCTCCCATGAGAGAAATGTCACCGCCCTTGATCTTTCAGACATTGGTTCCAGTTAGGGCAGCCACCTCCCCTTTGCCTCCTCCTGAGAGGTCTCCACAAAAGCAGCCTGCCCAGTGGAAAGTGCACTACAGCCTCCCTATTCTCCCCTGGCTTCTCCACCACCCAACCCTGCAGTACCTCTGGGAGTCATCCCTTACCTTCCAGTCCCAACCACCCATATCATTGCAGGCTTTTGGGAATCCCACCCCCATTACCACCACAAATACAAATAGCAACATTCATCAGAATGGCTGTTTATCATCTTTTGTGTGATGTGTGAACAAAAGTATCTTAGAAAGCTGTGCTTTTTAAATTGTCTTGCAGGGGTAGATTCAGGTTTTCTTGGGCCTGAACCGTAGACAATTTAGGGATCTCTTTAAGAGAAAAATATAAAATTCAAAATTCAAACTTAGGTGTAAAGGTTATTTAGTTATAATAAGAAAAATCACAGGAATAAATTTTATAATGCTAACAAATATAACAGAATACATAAAAGTAATTCTTTTACTGTCCCTCTTCTGTAATACTTTTCATATTTTTTGGTTTCATACCCTTTACATCTTCAAATGACAATGATTTTGTAGTATTTTCTATGGAGAGACTAGAAAGATAAATTCAGGCTTTCCTGTAGCACAGCTAATAGAAATTGCTGGTGTTTAGAAAAGCTTATTTAGATTTCAAATTTGTTATTTGTAGGTTCATATAAACTTCTATGATTGCCGTCAAATTTGAAAATCCTGTCAATCTTCTTTTACATATTAGTTGTAAGATGGGGAGGTATTTTCCATAGACTAGCTTATGGCTCCATATCGTTGAAGCCTGTTTCTTACTATGATCCCCTGTGCCAGCTGCTACAGGAACACCCATGCTTCTCTGGACCTGTTGTTTATGTCACCATGCCAAGTCAGTCAGCAGGTGGACAGTAGAAGCATTTCTGGAAGCCATCCCACACAGAACTGTTAACCTACAGAACTGACTGCAAACCCCATAGATATGTCCCATTAAAACCCAAAGTAAGTTAATCTCTGTTCTATGTCCCTTTAGCCAAAAATGTCAGCACCCACTCCCCTGTACCCTGACATGAAATGTGATGGAGTGGAGGTCATAATGGAAAGAGACAACAGTTTATGTACAGTTAGAATAGCTGACTTTTACAAACTTAAAAGAGGTGTTCGTGTGTGACCACATGAACACTTTACTAGGGTGCCTGGCAGAGCTTCACTCAAGGGAGAGGCCTTGAGGCCTCAGCTTCATTAGCTTCACAGCAAATTCATCTATTTACTGGTAGCAAAATCTCAGGACAAAGCAGAAACCGAGAACTCTACCCTCATTCAGTACTCCAGACTTTTCCTCTCTATCTAGTTGGCTTTTCATACCCTTGCAGGTTACACTTCCCAAGGCCCAGTCTTGAGAAGTGGGGTCTGTTCCCAACAGTCCCTGTGTGGATGAGCCCCTCTGGCCAGCCAGATTGAACTGCTGTGCTTTTTCAAAATATACATTGCATTTTCCTGCCTTTCTTCTGACCCAGCTCCTGAGCCCCTTCCTTCATGGACCTTCCTGTGAGACCTTCTCTTCTCTGTTCCTCTTCCCAGCTCTGTTTGTCCCTGATCTGGTTGGTGTGCCTTTGCCAGGGTGAGCTCTGAATGTGGATGCTCTTCTGTCCACCTCACTCCCCAGAGCAGTGTGTGTACACTGTGGGGGCTCTGAACCAACCCATTTGCCAGGTGTGTTCTCCCAAAAAGGTGTTCTGATTTGTAACTTTAATTTTCATCAGTTATTCACACAATAAATTAAAGAAATTTTTTTATTAAGGTATGATTGATACACATTCTTATGAAGGTTTCACATGAAAAAACAATGTGGTTACTACATTTACACATATTATCAAGTCCCCACCCTTACCCCAATGTAGTCACTGTCCATCAGGGCAGCAGGTTGCCAGAGATCCACTATGTCCCTTCTCATTCACACAATGAATTTAATAAGTGAAATACTACTACAAGGAATGTCATGAAAAACAACAGTGCTCTGTCCACGTCATCCTCAGCAGATGACCTTTTCCCTAGAGGTTACTCTTTATAGTTACACCCATTTTCTAAATAATAGGCTTCTACCACTCTTTCCTAGTCATTCATTTTGGACATTGTATTTACACTGTGTGCTGTATTACTTGATTGTCACTGGTATCCATGTTCATGTTCTGATGACCAATGCAGTTGTTGCCATGGTTGAGCCAGGTAGTATAGTTGTATTACATACTCTTTTCTCTCTTAGGTAGCTTATATTTTCCTTAAACAGTTGTTTTTTTTCTATTTGCTTAGTTTTCTATTTACCTGCCAATGATCATCTTCCAGCTTTTCAACATAATTTGTAATGATTTCCTCAGTGATTCATTGCTCTGGGGAAGTGGCCTTCACACTTTCCTGTGCATCGGAAGCACTGGAAGGCTTGTTAAGGCAAGTTGTGTTCCACCCAGAGTTTCTGATTCATAAACCTAAAGTGGTGCTGAGAACTAGCATTTCTACCAAATTCCCAGCTGATACTGATGCTGCAAGATCGCACTTTGAGAATTACTGCTGTATAGTATATTACATGGATATATGACAACATTCACTCAACTCTTGAGGAAACTTTAGATATTGTCCAATTGGAATTATGAATAATGTTGCTATGAACATCCTCGAATGCGTCTTTTGGTTATGTATGTGTGCA